CACTTTTGGGCCCAACCGGAATTCCGGTTGGACCACTGGGGATCCAACCGGCCGGTTGCTGACACAGCCCTGATTCAGTTAGGTTTCTGTTCTGAACTCTTGACATTGGCACAACATTCAGGTTCACCCTCAGCTGGCAGCTAATTGTTACAGGAGGTGAAGGTTGGATCGTTTGTCTGACTCTGTTTGTTGTTTATGTAATTGTGGCTCCATGGATAACAAGCTGTACAAGCTTATCAGTGCCAGGGAGGCAAATTATATTGTGTTTGCTAGAATGAAGGAAATGGCAGAGGATGTGGCAAGGATGGAAGATGATCATCAGCTTTTGAAGATTGCTGAACACATTATGGATCCGGTTCGTCTCGAGACTGGTCTGCAACAGTATCGATGTTTCCATGAGCTGGTGCGTATGATATACACTCCCATTGATTTCAGTGCAGGTATTTCCTCTTGTTGTGGTGGTGACAATGTGGCATAGCCATCCTGCATTCGGAACACGGAAATCTCAGCAAATCAGTCCAGCAAGCAGCAATACTCAGAAAACAGCAGATTTTTCAGTCTGCAATTTTGCAGGTGATTACAAAAGGTATGACCTGGCATTGAAATCAAGATATCCAACACACCAATCGCTGACTTAAGTACCGGGTTCAGACCATTTCATGGCCTGAACCAGGAATTAAGCTGGAGAAATACAGTCCCTCTTCCCCTCAGGTTTGCCTGTGCAGGTGTGTACGGGTTCTGGTTCTGAGGTTGAGGGCTTTCACCTTTCTTGTAACAGTATTCCACTGCCTCTCCTTGTCATCAACTGTGAAGTGGGAAGATTTCACCACCTTGCTCCTGCCATGTATGTCATGGTCGTTGTGTTCGATGTTGTTTCCTTTCCTCCTGCACCCGCTGTGTTGTTGTTGTTGTTATTGATGTCATCATCGGTCTCATTATTATCATTGTTGCTGTTTCTCCTGGTTGTGCTGCTGTTGTTTCTTTACCGCTGCCATTGTCCCGGTGCTGCTTTATTGTTGTCATCATATTTTATTTCATTGTCTTCGCCATAGTGTTGTTGCTGTTCCAAGATCATCGTTGTCATTGTTTGTACTCGCTTCGTCATCATGATCATCATCACCATTGCTGTTGTTATTGTTCTTGTTGTTGTCATTGTTGCCTTCATCATAACTGTTATTGCTGTTGTGGTCATCGTAGTGGGATGGTGGTTGTGGTGGCAGTGCTTTTTGTTCTTGTTGGTGTTGCTGCCGCTGCTGTTGTGCTTCTGGCCATCATCATGGTGTTCATGGTGGTTGTTGTGACGGTGCCTTTCTATTCTTTTTTGGAGATCTCATCCTTTAAATCTCCCAAAGTTTGCAGGTTAAAATGTGGAACATTCACTTTCTTCGGTTAGTTCATTGAGAGCCAAGGACAGAATGCCTGATGCTGCGCGAAAAGGACTTAGATAAGAGAGGACTATAGGTCTCCATTCTTCGGTTAGTTCATTGAGAGCCAAGGACAGAATGCCTGATGCTGTGCGAAAAGGACTTAGATAAGAGAGGACTATAGGTCTCCATTTCTCCTTGTCCTTTTCCTTTGCCATAATGTAGGCATGCTGCAGTTCACCATGACAGTCCCAGCATGCAACATCTGACAGACCTGCTGTTTTATAATTGGTTCTCATATCTGAAATGAACCTAGTACTCGTCAAGTTCAACCTTGCATACATCAATGAACATTCATATGAACATTCATATGACAGTTCACACCTCAGAAGTCAAACCTAGATACAATCAACACATGAAGATGTCTTCTCCAGATTCATTGCAGAAAATATTGCAATGAACCCAGATCGTGAAGACACTTGTCAATAATGCAAGCCCAGATGAATGTCAACCCGCTGATGATTGTCAATAATCAGAATCGTGTCCTTAATGTCAACCCGCTGATGAATGTCAACCCCATGAATGTCAACCCGCTGATGAATTTCAATGCTGATGATTGTCAATAATGCAAGCCCAGATGAATGTCAACCGGCTGAAAACACTTGTCAATAATGCAAGCCCAGATGAATGTCAACCCGCTGAGATGGGATAATCATACACAGACGAAGGAGAGAGGAGGGAGATTAGACAAAGGAGAGGAATAAAGAACAAGGCCCACTCCTGCTTCGGGCTCCCTCCTCGATCACCACCTCAGATAATAAATAGTCTGAACACACATCTAAAGTTCTATTCCAGTGTGCCACGTGGCACGCCGATCAGACCCTCATCAGCGTACTGGAGCGATGTCGACCTCAAGATAACCAGGTATGTGTCTGCAATCATCCCACAGTCATGATCTCCTCCCAAGTGACGATTAATCAGAACAACAGTGCCGATCACGTAGCCCAGCCACGTTAGAAGATAGAACACGTGGCAGCGGCCACATCAGCAGCAACGCGTGGCAGCTGCCACGTCAGCATGCCTTGAAGACAATAGCCAGCCAGCCACCATGCCGAGCTAGCAGTGCGTTGCCGTAATCTCCGAAGTGCCAGCACAAAGCCAGCGCCCACCAGCGTCGCAGCGTCGAGCCAGCGTTGCGTCGTCAACGCGTGAAGTCAGCATTGACGCAAGACTGAATGAATCTCAAAGTCAGGAAGTCAGCGCTTATATAGCGTTGACGCGAGGTCTGGACCCCGGATGCTGCATCCCTCAGCCGTCCAGATCTCAATGCAAATGATGACCCAGATTGGCATGAAACCAAATTCCTTCTGGCCTTGATGCTGTCTGGGTACCTGCGCACAACAAGTGAGTGTATCCGACCAAGGGCCTGGGCGGGGTACCTTCGACCTGACAGTTGACTTAGACTGTTGATTTTCCCACGGGCAGTGTGCGGTCACACTGCCTGGCGCAGGCCGAGTTTGGCCTGCGTCGTCTGGGCTTCGTTTCGAGGGCCCAGACTGCTGCAGAACACGGGTTACTGCATTCCTGCTGACCCATTTTCGAGTTCCATCGCAGAAATAACTAAGACTTTAACCCATGTTCATATGCATATACAATATCAGGAGCAGTTTCAAGTAGTTCTCGTTTACTGAACCATCTGTCCTCAGATGGTGCCTGAGATTTGAAACGTACCTTGAACTGCTTCAGAGGTCATCCACGTCCACCTGCAGAAAAGTACCCATGTTCTATGATTCTGTCTACCTCATATCCGCCATCCATGTCTGGTGGAATTATAGAAGGTCTGTGTGGGAACTCATTTCCTTCTACATAGGGTAACAATTTGGACGCATGAAAGAAGGATACGTTTTGAGATGAGGGGGAATATCAATTCGATAAGATGGTCCCTCTGCATCCCCAATTACTTTGAGAACTTCCCAAGGTCCAAAATAGACGAGCAGAAGTTTCTGAGACACATTTTCTTCCAACGAAAACTTTTTGGACTTGACCCAGACTAGATCACCTTCCTTGAATGTTGAGGGTCGACGATGCTTGTTAGCTTGTTCAATCATTTGGTCCTTAGCTTTCCTCAAATTGTCCTTTACTTTCTTAATGTCTTCTTGAAACAATACTGTATACTCTCGGGTCCCTGGAGGTAACCTAAGGAATTGGTCCCGTGTTAGTACGTCAATGGGACGCTTAGGTTTCCACCCCTTGTGCAGTGCATTGGGCATACGCCCGGTGGCGGTATGAACACTATTGTTGTATGCACTTGCTATCTTGGGTAAGTTCCCGTCCCAATCAATCTGATCGGGTCTCACATACATACACAAAAGTTGCTGGCACAAACGGTTCATCTGCTCACTTTGTCCATTCGTTTCAGGGTGTCGCCCTGACGACATGGTGAGTCATGTGCCGTATGCCTCCATGAGCTTTTGCCATGGCATACTTATGAACCTGACGTCACGATCAGACACAATGGAGAGGGGAAATCCATATTCAGTCACCCATCACATCTGAAATTTTTGGATCACAAATTTTGTTCGTGCCTCTGCGAGTAAGGGAACATGGCGTAATTAGAGAAACAATCCACTATAACCATTACTTGACTATTGCCATTACGGCTCTGGGTAAGACTCATAAAATCCAACAAAATGGACTCACCTGGTTCACTTGGAATCGGTAATGGTTTCAGGAGACCGAGTGGATTCTCATGTGAAGGTTTGTTTCTCTGGCATACCAGACATGTACGAACATAAGTTAGTACGTCTTCTTTCAGTTTCTTCCACTCAAAGCGTTCTCTAACCTCTGCGTAAGTTTTCTTGAACCCAAAATGTCCTTCAAAGTCGCGATATTCCCCAATTATCAGATTCTTTATTTCTTCCTAATGAGGGATACACAATCTTTGTTCAGTTTGGTCTATCAAGAAAAACAAACCATCGGCTACTCTATAGTTGGGAAGGAAAGATGAATCCTTCGCAAGGACATTCATGATAGGCTTCCAAATAGGATCAGTAGCATTTCCTTTACAAATTTTATCTTTCAAGTCATTCCCAACATCCAAGTAAGAGACAATAGTACCAAACAAATCACATCGTCTGGACAATGCATCTACAACAATATTAGACTTACCTTTGATAGTTTTTAGTTCAAAATCAAAAGTATCAAGGAAAACAGACCATCGTACAAACTTATCAGAGAGTCTAGGCTGTGTTTTTATCCACTTCAGGGTAGAGTGGTCTGAATACACAGTAGTGCCTCCCTAACAAGTAGTGTTTCCAGGTGTTAAGTGCGCAGACTAGTGCATACAGTTCCCTTTCATAGGTGGAGTTGGCAACCTTGTCCGATGGCAATCGTGCAGACATGAACTCAATGGGTCTATAGCCATTGTCGTCGTTCTGTTGAAGGACCGCGCCAATTCCGTACTGACTTGCATCAGTAGTAACGATGAAGGGAAGAGATGGATCAACAATTTTCAAAACAGGATAGTGAGTCAAAACATACTTTACCATTTTAAAGGAAGACTCACAGTCCTTGTCCCACAACCAAATAGTTCCTTTCTTCAATAATCTTTTCACTGGTGCGGCGATCAGTGAGAAGTTTCTGACGAACTTTCTGTAGTAACTTGGCAAACCAAGGAAATATCGTAATTCAGTTACGGACTTAGGTCGTGACCAATCTCTAATTGCTGATATCTTCTTTTCTTCGGGCCTTAGGCCCTCCTCGTTCACTACATGTCCAAGGTATAAAACTTCAGACTTAGCGAACTCAGACTTCTTTAGGTTTAGCTTAAAGTTGCCCTCCCACAACTTTCCTAATACCAGACGTAAATGTTTTTCGTGATCTTCTAGTGTCTTACTGTACACTAGAATGTCGTCAAGATAGATAATGACGAACTGATCCAACTATTGATGAAATAGTTCATTCATAGATCTTTGAAAGGTCGATGGGGTGTTAGTCAGTCCGAAAGGCATAACCACGAACTCGTAGTAACCATACCTGGTTTGGAAGGCAGTCTTGTGTTGATCCGCGGAATCCAC